CCGAGAGCCCCCGAATTCGGGGGCGTCGTGCTTAAGAGGGGGGGCAGGAAACAAATGCTACACAAATCTGTTTACTTTTTCGCAAGTCTTTTTTATGTCCTAAAATAGCTGTGTGGGCTGTTTTTTTTAGCAAACACTCATAAAGGAGTGAATAGTGCATTTGTCAGGGACTATTTTTAAGCTGCGGATTGATACACATTTGGTGCTCTAGTGAGTCTTTCCAGCTGCAGGACTGTGAGAACAGATGTTCATGTTCATTTCAGTGAAAGAACTGTTTTCAATAATAATTTAGGTCTACACAAATAATGCTTGTTCGTTAAGTTATTGTGGGTTTTACTCTGGTTGTGGGATTTGTTTTTTGCTTGCTTAGTCTCTCAGATGGAAATAAATCATTTATATCACTTCACTGTGTAAATACACTTCCACAGTTATGATTAAATCTTCACATAATATCGCTTGTTTGAAGTATCAAATTGCACACATCTTGTGATTTTCCCTGGTTTCTAAAGTAATTACACTTGTTAAATATATCAAGACTACTAACGTGATAACAGCATTTCAATCAAAGGAAATGTTAGCAGTGAGTTGTCAACATAAAAAAGAAGTTGGATTAATTCACCTGCAGTAATTAATTCTCCTGCCACCATGTGTACAGTACCACCATGTTCAAGAAGTATTACCTGATCTTAGTAAGCATCAGAGGGTAAATTAAAAATTCCACGTGCAACATTTTCTGATGAAAGAAAGGCAGCTCTACTGGCAACGAGCACAACTGCCCCAAAAACACTTCATCTCAGCTCATGGCCCTATCGCTGCTCGCTGTTGCCAAGTGATTTAACACAATAACGATTCAACCTATTCCCTGCTCATGAAAGCTTTTATGTTTGCTGTTTTAAAACACTCAATGCTGCTGTAGGTCATTCCCGCATGGGGAAAATGCTCTGGCGCACAGGAAGTGGTGCGTTTTATGTTTCCAAAAGTGGCTGTTTTATTTGGAATAAACAGAAGAATGACAAAAATGGTGCCGGACACATTTTGATTGAGAGGAGATGTGTTGTCAGGATACTAAGCACAACAAATAATGATAAAACTGCAGTAACAATGTGCTGAGATTAAAGTTAGTATAGATGTACTTTATCCTCTAAGGAGAAGCATCTTTATCTCCAGTTAGTCACAGAGCTAAGCCTTCAATGTTCCGAAAAATAAACACCCTGAAGTCTTTGAAAACCCGAAAATATTATAGAAACAACTTTCTGTTCATCTCCATTCATTAACAAGTATGCCAGCCCATCCATATATGCTGCAGAGTGTGTGCAGAGAGAGAATGTCCCTTTTAAAAAAGTCAAAAACACAGAGCCACAGCTCCTCGTTGTTTCCTTGTGGCCCACATTGATGTCAAAGTGAAATGCTTCTGACGCATCAACAATGGAGTAACATTTTTCTGCTATCAAACTCTGCACCTATACAATTACACAACAATACAGAGAGACGTCCATTGTAGAAGAGGGAGAGACACCAATTCCACCACTGACACAATCCTCAATAGACTCAAATGCAATGCAGCCTCATTTTATAATCATGCAGCTTTGGCTGCTTGAGGCATTTTTTTTGTGATTTTAATAATTGTATAGGCCGCATAATGACGCTCACTTTTCCTTGATGTAAAAACTTCCTCTCTCCTTACTTAAACTTGTTCTCCGCAGACTTTAAGGGGTTTGCTGAAAGGCATTCTGGGTAGTAACTAAAACAGATGCAGACAAGCAGGTTTGGGGGTGGGGGTGGGGGGAAGTAAATTACAACACTTCATCACAAAATCGCTCCTGGTATGGACTGGACGTAACAGATTGATATCAAGGAGTGCGCGCGCATAATGAACGGGGGATTGATGTTTGGAAGCAGATGCTGAAGGGCACTGGTGCATCTGCCGCTGTACGTCCTGCAGGACTCGGCATCGGCGCACGAGTAGTATCAGCAAAGGCAGTTCATGACATCCCTCACTTAAATGAAGCCCGCCTGTCTATCGACAACAGGGAGACCAGTAATGAGACAGCACATTATTGCAGTGTTCTGGCTGCAAGTGACACGGCCTGCGGAAGCTGCAGACAGATGTTTCATAAAGTCTTAACGAGGGTACGGAGCGGAAACTATCTGGAGACGAAAGCTGATTGTTGAAGCTCCTTTCCAAATTGTCGTGCACTGCTTACAATTATGACAAATCACCATCTCCCTCCTCCTCTTTTTAGTCCTAATACGGTCCAGGCAGATCCATCTCTCCATGCTGTCTCTGGATAAAGAAGTAATGCAGAAGCCCGTCTCATCAGCCCTCTGTAAATGTGTAATTACTTTGTCAACAAGGGATTTAAATCACCTACCATCCTTTTAAGAATTGTTTTACTATTGCATATTGCGTTATGCATCATTTTGGAGCAGGTGTCACACTTTTTTTTCATGTCAGCACGAAGCTTTTGGTTGTTTTATTATGCAGAACAATCCCACGTTGAAAAATGTTTTGCCCAAGGGCAGTTTAATTTGTATTAGTGACAAATCACTGCTGCACCGTGTGACCGGGAACAAAAGAGATGGCGTGTGTTTTATTACTGTAATGAGTTCATTCAGTTGTGCTCACACACCATGAGTCCGACGACGTGGCTGGTGTGTTTTCTACTCCCATAAAGACATCTTATAGTGCGCAAAAATATGATTCCAATACAAAACCACTCGCCCAAATCTGACTTGATCTGTCAAACACACAACAAGTTCATTAAATACTTCAGTAATTTTATCGGTGTTGTTCTCTTGCTTTGATTTATTTGTGTCATTAGCTGTGTAATAAATGGAAAAACAAGGTTAAACAGCCAACAGCCAAACACACAGGGGTGTCCCGACCTACTGGTATTTAGGAATAAAATATTGATATCATGTTAATAATACACACGGGATAATATCGTGGAAACATCCAGCGCCTCTTAAATCATTGTATACATGCGGTTACAGACTCTTCCCCTGCACAATTGACAAAGTCAAAGATGAATTTGACAGATTCTTGGTTTTTCCAATTTTTGATAGACATCTGGATAATATCGTAATGTAAAAAAGTTTGAGGCCTGCTTATGGAATCACTGATGCACACCCCCTAAATATCTTTGTCTCACCATACCAGCTTTATCCCCGACAGTGTTAATGACAACTATGATCTCAGTCCTCTTGTTAGAAGTAACAAGTACCAGAAGTACTAATCAACACAGACACGTGTGTGTGCTGAGCAGGTGCAGGGTGACAGACCAACTGCTAATCATGTGACCAAAAAATAAAGCACAACAGACGATGTAGAAGAAACACTCAGTCAAGAATTATACTTAAAACATCTTTAATTGTGCAGTTATAAAATGCAAACAGGGTAGAAAAAATATTTTTTTCAAACATCTAGCGCATTAACAAGAGAGCGAGTGCTGTACTATAGTTTTGAAAAACAACATTGGAGTTCTGAAGTGATATTTCAAGAAGTTGCTCTCATGTGTTCTGACCCAATATCGGCAAGATCCAGGTGTCGGTATAATGATACCGTCTCCTCCCACCGCGTCCGGCTGCACAAACTTAACTGGGGCAATGATGTGTTCCAAGTTGTTTTTCTCCACATTGGTGGTTTGCGCTTTTTGATATGTAATTTTAGCTTTTTCACAAGTGGAAATGGTTGCAGAAGACATGGTGAGAAAAGCTGGAGGAGCAGCAGCAGCAGCAGCGCTGGCTCACACCTCAGGGCCACCTGAGAGGCAGCAAGTCTGAGGCTGACTGCAGCCTCCAGAGAAACATCACTTTAAAAACAGACACAGTGTAAACAGCAGAATGCGTATAAAATCTGTAGCCCTGTAGACAAACATATTTTCACATGTTTAACAATAAATAAAAAGACAAGCTCCTTTATGAGGCTGCTGGCAAGAGACAGAAGATGTCCTCTTTTAGAGATTCAACAAATCCTTTCCATGGCTGTAGAAAATGTAGAGTATTTAAGTGAAATGTCAAGACGTTCATTACTAAAAATTACCAAATGAACAAGGATGTAGTGTAACATGTATCCATGTACAGCGCAGCGTAGTGCAACAAATTGCTCCCGCGTTTCACCTCATTTCAGTGTTGTGAAAAGGGAAATGTTTGACTTTGAGAAGATTAAATGTAAAGCACTCATCTGTGAAAAGCCACTTAAGACCTCCAAGATATCTCAGACGCCTGCGTTTACACTACAAAACCCACGGTGCAAAAAGAAATGAATAAAATACAGTCATCTTTAATGGCGGCGTGTATACAAACCCATTATTCAGTAACAGATATATAAGGTTAAAGCGGACATATTTACATTCTTTGTCAATTAAAAGCATTTCAGTCGGTCCATTCCGTCTAACACTGATATTTAAAATACAAAATAAAGTTGCTTTTGTCGCGTGGAGACAGAACCTGACGTCAAATGAGTTCAGGCAGGTTCCACGCTTCACACTGAATCGTGTCAGTTTGTGAAAACCATTCAGCAGCGTCTGAGCAGGACTTCACTTCCCATGGTGCTCCTGTGTTTCCTGTCCGTCCCGCTCCGGCGCTCGTCCCCGGGCTCACCACGTCAAGGAGTCCGCAGTGTCTCTGTGTTCGGTTTGTCTACACACCGCTCGCTTTGAGACAGAAAGCAAAAGAGGAGAGCCGTGATTGGAGGATTTAAAAAATGACGTCATGAGCGTCACCGTTAGGCCACGGCCTGTTCGCAAGAGGCGGGAGGGGCTTGAAAAGTTCTGTGGAGGGGGGACGGAAAAAAGGTTTGGCTACGTTAGTCAACTACATCCATCGAGTCCTGGAATAAAAACACAGTCAATGAGAGCTCCATCTATAGCAAGGTCAGCACAGAGAGGATCAGCCATGGCTGAGTTAGAGGGGACACGTAGACTTTGGGGAGGGGGGAGGAGGGGTGAATACACAAAGGAGCCTTTGAGTTGATAAAGATGTCTGCCACCATGATGGATCCACACCCATTCAAACATGATGAGATGCAGGAGAAGAGAGAGACAGCGATGTGTGGGATACTAATCAACAGTCGACACACATCTTAAGCCAGACAGAGATCAGTGTTTCCTCTGCAACGCCACATCTACCACAAGGCTGTGAAATAACCAAGGAAAACGAATGTAGTGCCACTGTTTACAGTAAATATTGTATTTAATTTAAAAGCTACGAAAGAACATGCTGTGCTAGAGCTGGAGACGCTGATTCAGTGCCGTGACAGTTAGTCGATGAGTTCATCCGCACAAAGACCAGGTTAGTGAGAGAGTGACAGAAAGGAAGCAATGCATGAAATCAAACAGTGGTTAACGGTGGAGGGGGGAAGAGTGACCGGACTTCACAGGCATCTTTACCAGAATGTCTCGAGTCTCCAAGTGGTTCTAGTTTTGGCAGCCTCGAAACTTTGGGCGTGGCCCATCCCACTGAAAAAACAGAATGAATAAACAGTGATCAGAATAATAGAAGTGATGCTCAGGCTTCCTCTTCACACCACAAGTACAATCTGCTTCGTCTGAATCCTAACACTACCATGAAATAAAGCTAGACAGCAACACTGACTATTTGCTGGATAGAAAGCTGGCTTCATTTCATAAGAGAAGCATCAAAAGACACACCGTCCTTCTAAAAGGCTAAATGTGTAATCGCAATTAGATCCTTTGTGTGAAATGGTTGAGCCCTTTAGTGCTCCGCTGATGTTTCCGACAGCAGTGAGGTTTAGACAGCCTGTAGCTGTATTCCTCCCGCAACATTTAAAGCTGATCTCCTCACCAGATAGTGCCAAGTGTGTTTATATCTGCTCGTGTAGAAATGTTTCGTTATTGAAGAATCGCAAGTTTTGCAAACTGAGATTAATACACTGCGTTTCCTGCAGCTGGTTCAGGAGTGGAACATTGTTAATGTGAAGCGGCGGCAGCAGCAGGACATTCGTTCTGCTTAACACTGCTCTGTCACCAGTGAACAGTTTAATCCGGCTGATATTGAACAGGAGTGGAGGAGTGAAAGGACACAGAGATTCAGTTCACTTCATAGGGCGGACTGACCGGGAGGAGGGGGAGGGGTGGTGCTCTCCGCCGGCCCGTCCTCCGTCCTCAGCGGGTCCACGCGGTGCTTCCTCTTCAGCTGCAGCTTCCTCGTCGTCGTCGTCTTCTTCTCTTGCTCGCCTGTTTTGGCTGAAAGTGCAGAGACATTTTTCTTTTTTTTTTTTTTTAAAGGCGTGAAGAACCCAAATGTTCAAATGGATGTTTCACTTATGGAAGCGGCCTCTCAGAGTGCCTTTCTAGTCCTTCATGTTATCATCTTCTTAATGTGCGAGTATGTTCAGCTATCAGACATTCAGCACTCCGAGCTTACTGAAGAAAAAGAGGAATGATATCAGACAGGTGTTTCATTTGACGAGACATCTTCACCCATCGTGGTTCAAAGCCGACCAATAAGCTACGAGGAGAGACTCTGCCGCCACATCTAGACTCAAGATAACTTCTTCGGTCCTTTTTACTCAACTTCTAAATGAATATCTTGGCAGAAAGCACATTCATAAAACTGTTGAACTAGTAGCCAAGTGATTGAAATCACGGGGTGTTCTCCAGCTATTCCCAGCATTTAGAAATGATTAGACATGAAAAAGGGTTGAGGCGGTTCCACGCTCACCCGAACCGGCATTTTCCGGCGTTTGTCTTGGGTCGCCTGGCTCGTCCTCATCCTCCTCTTCCTCCCGATCAGCATCCGTCCTCTGGCTGTCGGTCCGGGCCTCCTGCGGCTCTCTTTGCCTCCTCCGCTCCTCCTCTTTATCGTCGTTCTGAAAAGGAACATGGAAGTGATCTTTCCCCCCCCCCAAGTTCTTTGGAAGAAACCAGAACTTCAGCTCCAACTAGAAGTCTTAAACAATCTAAATCTGTACGTCTGTACACAGAGGTCACACACCTCAGAGACCACGTTGCTGATTGGTTGGAAGGGGCTGGGTATGTTCTCATCATCAGGCTCCTCCTCCTGGATCTGCCTGCCCTCGCGTTCCGCCTCTTCCCGCTCCTGCCGATCTCTGTGGACAGAACGAGAAGTTAACTTTTCCGCACAATGATGCACCCCTTACTTTGATCTGAGGACAGATGTAATTACAGTTACGTCTACCATTCAGTGGGGTTTTCTCTTTTTCGAATATCTTATGTCTTCTTTTATTGTTACTTCAGAGCAAGAGGGCGTGATGAAATCATTTTTATGTATTGAGCAGATGGGGAGATTTCCACGAGTCTCTTGTTTCATTTGCCGTTCCAGTCTGACCATCTTCTCTCCTTTATCTTTCCCAGCGTGCATTTCTTCCCTTATCATCTTACCTCTATTCCACTAAACACTTCATCTAGTATTCCTATTAGGACAGTGGGTACAAAGATGCGTTTAAACTTAATCTAATTTCTTAATTTGATGACACTGAATATTTTCCATTGTCCTCCATCACTTGTGTCCTCACCTCTCCTCTCGTATCTGCCGCACTCTCGCCGCCCTCTCCTTCTTGTCCTGGTCCTCCTCAGCGCGCTGCTCGGCGGTGTCCTTCTGCACGCGCTCAGTAATGGCCTCGTAGTCTTTGGCAATGTTGTTGAGGAGCCACTTCAGGCCCTTCTTGATGGACTTGTCGACCTTTTTGCCATAGCCTAGAACGGCAGAGCACGGCTCCTGGGGGGGGGCATACATTGAGAGATAAGACCTCACTAGCATCTCTCAGAAAAATACAAACTTGATGTTGATGCACGTGTTGTTTTGCAAGATACTTTGGATGAATTCATGATTTCTAAAGCTAAAGAATGAACCGTTGTCATCCTGGCTCTTTGTCTCTTTATGGGAGAAACCACAGTGAAACCAAATGCCCTTGATGTCATTCAGCTGCCGTTCCACGACAGGTGCACAAACACTTACGATCTGACAGAGACACTTGTTCTCGTTAACCAGCTTCTCTAACGACAGGTTCTCAATGATGTCTGCTTCAGCCAGCGCTCCCTCTTGGTCTTGTTTGTTGGCGAGCCTGGAAGCAGAGAGGGATAAAGAGATATTGGGGATTGATGTTGGGAAGAAAAAGATAAATACATACAAATGTTGTAAAACCCCGTGCCTGTGACTACACTAGTACAACAAACTCAATATTTGAAAAGGATGAAGTAGCTGCAGGATATCAAACTCAATCTTTTGCATTGTTGCATAGTTATCTGTGGCTGGAAGTCTTATAGAAATCTTATGGAAATATGACTCTGCCCTGATTGTTCATTACAATACTGTCTGCATACCTGGAGAAATACTTTAAACTCTGCATGCCTGAGCCTGTGCTTTGTGTCCTGATTACGGATTTAAGCTGCAGTGCACAATTTCTGCAACAAATTGAACCATTGACTCAGGACTTTTAGGCCGGTCAACTTCTCTATTATCATAAAACATTTTGTGTAATTTCTTTGGATGGTACAACACTCACACTAGCACAGGTTTCCCTGCGATACGCGGGTGCTGGAGGACCTCCGCCATGGTCTCCCGGGTCTCCTGGATCCTCTGGACATCGCTGGAGTCCACCACAAACACCACGCCGTGTGACTCGGAGTAGTAGTTCTTCCAGATGCCCCGGATTCTCTTCCCACCACCCAGGTCAAAGATGGTCACCTCGAACTTGCCCTGCTTCAGGTCAACTTTGGAAAAACCCACAGTAGGAGCCACATCCTGGGGATTATCTGCAAAGGCGTAACAAGATGGGGAACATGGTTTACAAACTTTTATATTATTTACAAAGAATTTTGAAAACAACAAAATTGTGCCAAACGCTAAATAAACATTAACATTAATAAACAGCCCTCACCTCCTTGGATTCCTCGAACTGTGGCTGTCTTCCCTGCATTGTCCAGTCCAACCATAACCAGAGTCACCTTCCTGTTAGGGGGGAATAAAATGAATGCACATGAACACAGACTTGTGACCAGGTTAGACGTGTCTGATGTCCTGCGTCTAAATATGCAGCATCTGAAGCCACACTAGCTGGCATAAGATCCCAGGATCACAGTAGACCGAGTGAGACAGCGACAGTCCCGTGGGCAGCTAACCCAAATAAAACAAACAGAGATACAGCATATTTGCTCAGGGCAACATTAGTACTACTGATTGTTATTTAAATAATATTTGGCAGATTGTGGAAGTGGCTAAATGACTTTCCTGTCATCCGTTTACCTCGAATCATTTCACTGCATGTATTGCATCGCAAAACACAGGCACATTCACCCCAGCAGGTACGCATGCGTGCATCCACTTTGTAAACACACACAGTGAAAAGCAGCAGCAAAGACCTGAGAGGAGATGAACCTAGAGCTAAACTGTACACATAAGCACAAGCCAGTCCTCGTCTCCTAGCTGAATACTTAACTTTGACACTTGCGCCGAAAAGACATCAGCCGCACTATCCATCTAACTGTCCTCTCAGCCAACTGGCCTTCATCCGGGCAGCCGCTTGTTGTAAACCTCCAACAGGTGAGACACCGTCTGCCCTGTGTCCACTAACCTTATACACCTCTGCTCTGTCCTCGCTGCTACAAACCCCTCACAGCAACAGGCCGAGAGGAAGAGACCCGCTGGACAGACCCGGCTGTAGGATTAGGTGAGGATTTCTGACTAAGTCCAAAGGATCAGATGCCTCACAGGCACCACGTGGGTCAAGCACTCGCAATGACTTTTTTGTGGTCCGGCTGCTTCACACTCAGAATGTTTTGCATGCTTTGTATTCAGCCAAAGACATCCTGAGAGGGAAGTTTGCAGGAATGAGGCAAGTTCATAAGGAGGTACAGAGCAGAGCAACACTGTATCACTTCAAATCAAAGAGGAATAGTTGAAATAAAGTAGACCGATTCCTCTAAGAAGTGATGGTACCAGACAGCTAAAATAATGGAAAAGCATTACATCCCTTTTATTTCTTCAGTCAAAAATCCACTTAACTCAGATCAGTCTGATCTGACAGTGGTTGCAACTGTTTTAATAGATAGTGTAAAAAATTGGATTATACAGAGCAACTTTGATCCAAATCATCAAATCAGTCGTATGATAGTGACTACAAACTGAACTGCAACTCATTCATGCAAACTACTGAACCAATCGGATTTAAGCTGTATGATTAGGACAGGAAAGAGAAAACATGTTGGCATCGTGGTAAAAAGCTAACTTACCTTGCGGGCTCTCGCCAGCGTTTCAGCCAGTTGCAGCAATTCGCCATCAGGCTAAACATCGCAGTCCGAGTCCAGATGACTGCGATCAAGTGGTCATCGCTCCAGAAGCGTCACACCGCTATCCAAGCTAAAGCTGACGTAGCTAGCGTTAACGGTACATTATTAACTGGTCTGAGTTCAGTCTCAGCACATTAGAGTTAGTCTGTTACCATACGAATGAACGTGGCGCTCACTATTAAAATAAAACAAGGTTTCATGTACAACCGAATGCAGCTACAGTAAGTACTATACTCACGAAACACGAGCTAACGGTAACTAGCGTTAGCTGAGCTTGGAAGCTGTCTGCTTTGTTTACGCCGTATTTTTCTGCTGCTAGGCTGCGGACGTGCTTACGTCATCCTCCGCAATCGACAAAATCAGTGTCGACGGAAGCCGTGATGGTTTGTTGACTGAGAGACAAAAAGAGCACATAGTTAAGAGTAAGAAATATAGATAAAACAAAACACCCAATGACAATAATACCAGTAAAGCAACAACATCAGTTATTAAACCACCACTTCCACCATCATCATTTAATAAATACTCATGAGTAATGTACTTTGTTTTATTTAGTTTTTCCCTCGTGACTTTAGCGCCATCTTTTCCACAAGCTTATCTGAGTTTTATGCGCATGCGCTGTTAACTCTTTCTAGTCTTTTAGTTGTAAGGAATCTACGAGTCATCATCTTCATCACATTCTGGTGAGACTCTGCTCCTTTAGTCTTAGTTATACATTATAATTGATTTTTGCCGTTTTGCGTTGTATAGGAGCTCACGTGCGCGTTTTAAACGTGTAATTTCCTGGTGTTAGACGTCTGTTGTCATACGGAACAATTGACCCTTTTATATACTGCAACATGTAAACATATTGCAGGCTTAACTTGACTGTTTGCTGCTTTATTCTTTTTACTCCGCTCAATATATTTGACAGCTGTTGTTACTTTGCAGATTCATATTACAAAATATAATTCACAAAATAATTATGACGTAACATTCATATAAGTGAAGCAATTATTATAATCAAGCAGGTAGCTCTCCACTTTTACCAGCTGCAGCATTAAGTGAACGTTACACTTCAATGCATCAATAATTATGATCCAGTTATATGATATTATTCTCAAATGGGCCATTCTGCATAACATGTACTTTATTTTGTAGAGTTGTTTCTTTTATTTTGGTAATATGTGTGTACTGGTGTTTACTGTGTCTAGGAATGACCTTTCACAGCTTTAATTATCTTAAGACTCCAGTGAGTTGCACACATTATCTCTGACAGTGAATTAAATATTGAGCCGATGTACTTTGCAATAACAAAGTCAAAAGAGGTTCAATAAAAGCAGGCCTTCAGGTCGCAGAGACATGTTTGCATCTCAAACACCTTCCGATCTCATTTTCCGAGTGGTGCCTCAGGTTTGAGAAAACTGTGGAAGGTATTTATTCAGCATTTAGGCTAACGTTTAGACTAAAAAGCACAGGGTGATTTATCAAAATAAGATTCAAAAAACATGGTGGCAGGTTGCTGAACGATGACCTTGCTGTATTTTACAGGTGCCTGCCCTCCTGCATCCACATGACTCGCGTCTTCGTCTACGGCACCCTGAAGAAGGGGCAGCCCAACTACCACCGTATGTTGGAGAGCGCCAATGGGAAGGCGGAGTTCCTCGCCTCGGCCTGCACCACCGAGAAATACCCGCTGGTGATCGCCAGCCACTACAACATCCCCTTCCTCCTCAACATCCCCGGCCAGGGCCACCGAGTCCATGGAGAGATCTATAGAGTGAACGACAAGATGCTCGAATTCCTGGATGACTTCGAGGAGGTTCCCACCCTGTACCAGCGGGCTCGGGTCAGACTGGAGGTGAAGGAGTGGGTGGGCGAGACCGAGGGGGAGGAGAGGCCTGCGGCAGGCAGCTTCACCGAGGCGTTTCTGTACAGCACGACTACCTACCAGCCAGACTGGCCCACGCTGCCCTGCTACGAGAGCTACGACTCGTGTAGGGATCATGGGCTGCAGTACGTGGCCAGACAAGAACGGGACTGAGACGAGAGGACCCAGAGAAGAACATGTTACATTCACACTCACATATGTTGACTGATAGATCAGCACTTTTATTAATAGTAATAATAAAAGTTAGTCCTACGTCAATATGCAACTTTTTAATTGATTTGTCTCATTGTAAATTGTTTAAAAAGTTTAAACTCATGTTTGTTTTACCCTCCAGTTGCACTAATTTGCAACGCTCAGCGGGCTAAAATGCACTTTGATAATAAAATTCATGCCACACCTGAAACAGGTCTGTGTTAACCGTTCTTTTTAACAACTCTTACCGTATCATCTAGCATTCATTTGGTGTTCATCACTGTTTCCGTGATGATTGGGCATCACTGAAGAACTGCAGCAGTTACCGTATCATCTAGCACAGTGATTCTTAACCATGGGGCCACGATGGGGCCGCGAACGCCACCTAGAGGGCCGCAAAAAACTTTCAGTTTTGCACCTGTGGGCCGCGAGGGCCGCGGGACCGCATAGGTTATCAATTTAAGACACCAGAGATATTACTGTTCTCCATGAGACGCTCAGTTACAATATAGCTTCCCACCACCTGGTGGCGGTAATGCGTCAGTCAGTTGTTTAACAACAATAAGCAGAAGAAGACACTCAGCTAGCCGCTAGCCCAGGCATGGGCAAACTACGGACGTTGGGCTTTTTAATCCGGCCCGTCAAATATTGGTACAAAATTGTCCAAACTATAATAAAGACTAGAGCTGGGCAGTATACCGGTTTTAATTTCCCGTATGATATGAGTTCTTCACACACCATTATACCGGTGCATAGCCAAAATAACTGCTGTCTGCTTTCAACAGCAGCTAAACGTATTCTTTACTGCTAATGCACAGCGGTCAGCGCTAGTTGTGTTATATGTATTGAGAGGGAACCCTAGTCATGGTCATAACTTTATAACAATTAACAACCCACAACTAATGCTAACACACAACAGTCTGTGACACAAACAATTTGTAACACTAATAATTGTACATTTATAAAATTTCACCGCCGAACTGCATGCTGGGTACAGCTCGCGAGCGAGCCTGCTTGCTAGCACAACAGTCTGCTAACAACTGGGAGAGGCTCCGTCGCTCCAGTAACGTTACATTAAAGAACAGAACAGAGCGATGCAGGATGAACAAAGACAGACCGGAGCAGTGTTACATCAGTGAATCATTTAATGAGTAATAAACATTACACGATTTAACCACTAGAGGGCAGCAGTGTTACATCATTTAATGAATCATAAACATTACACGATTTAACTACTAGAGGGCAGCAGTGTTAAATCATTTAATGAATCATAAACATTACA